TGTGGCTCAAGTGGTAGAGTGCTAGCCCTGAACACAGAAGCTCAGGAAAAGCACCCAGGCCCTGAATTCAAGCCCCAGGACTGGCACCGAAAAAGAAAAAGAAAAAGGAAGGAAGGAAGGAAGGAAGGAAGGAAGGAAGGAAGGAAGGAAGGAAGGAAGGGAAAAAGAAAAGAAAAGAGAACTTAAATCTTCATTATAATAAATCATATTCCAGAGACAACTGTTGTAAATACCATGTTTGTTCCAAATTGTTTTGCAATAAATGAACGTAATGTCCACTTTAGAAATTTATGACTTCTCTTTCATTTCCTTCTTGAAACAAAACCTTTTATTCCATAAATATTGTGGATTCAAATGTAGTTATGAGAATAATGCAGAGATCCCTGACAGATGTTTGTTAAACAATAATTTATTCAGACTACAAATGCACTGTCCGATTACCAGCATTTATTACTCACTAGTGTAGAATGAACATCTTTTACATGAACATCTTACAGTGAACATCTTATTTCCAGGTCAAAATGCAATGTTTAAAAATTTAATGATTTTGTTCTTTATTTAATAATTTTGTTCCAAATATTTTATCTAAATCTGAAAAAGTCATTTGTTCCTTATTTATTTTAATGATTTTGTTCCAAATATTTTGTAGAAATATGAAAAAATTCATTTAGGTTTTAGAAATATAGAGCATTAGGCAAATCTTAAATAAGTTGGTTAATTTATGGCTACACAGCAAAGTTTATCTGATATTTAAAACTAGCCAGACTGCTTATCCACAGGATTTTTTCTGGGAGATTAAGGTTATTTTACATCTTAATATCTAAAAGTTGTATCTCAACTAGTATTTATCAACTCATTCTAACCTTTTTCAAGGCAAAACCAATTTTCAGTCTAGTTGGATCACAGTGGGGTTAATCCAGTGTGAATTAAAAGAATAAAAAAAGCAATAAGAAATATTTCCGTGTAGTTTTGATCTATAGCAACACTGCCAGATTCCTGTCTCTTGCTGTTACTTCCTGGGGTTGTTGTTTTGTTTCTTGGTTGGAGATTATGAAAAGGAAAGGTTAGGCAGTTTACTTTCACAAAAAGAAATGGAAAGTCATGTACCAGAAGGTGCAAATGGCAGCCTGAGGGTCACATTATGCCCACAGGAAATAGGAGTACTGACCTATCCAGGCCTTTAAGTCTCTTAATGAATTTCCAATGCTTGAAAAATAAGACATTAAATTAAAATAGGGAATTTTGGTGGGTTGGCTAATTTTATAGGCAGTCTAAGCCCTCATTCAAATTACTAGCTAAACAGGGACACTATGAACAATAATAAAGAAAATTAGAAAGTTTATTTTTAAAAGCAATTTTAATTTTAGCACACATGTAAGTTTTGTGCACTTTTTTTGTTGGTTGGTTGTGGGGCCTGAACTCTGGGCCTAGGCGCTGTCCCCCAGCTCTTCAGCTGTAGACCAGCGCTCTACCACCTGAGCATCAGCCCTACTTCTGGCTTTCTGCTTATGTGGTGCTGCGGAATCCAACCGAGGGCCTCATGCATGCAAGGCAAGCACTCTACCACTGAGCCAACTTCCCAGCCCCAGTTTTTATTTATGTTTTAGAAATATATTCATGTTAAACTCCTTGGTACAATTTATGCTTTAGAAATATATTCATGTTAAACTCCTTGGTACAATTACTATACACTAACAAAAAAAGTGACAGGAGGGTAAAACAGGCCTTGATAGGACTAGGGAGGAGGGAGTGGAGAGGGTGAAGAAGGGTGAATATGGTCAAACTACTTTATATGTATATATGAAAATAGAAAAAAGAAACATGTTGAATTGTTTTACAAAGGAATAGGAAAAATAAGGAAGACTGATGGAGTGGATAAGGTTGATGGAATACATTGTATGCATCTTTTGAAATGTCAAAATAAAATCTTTCTGAGTAGCTAGGATTACAGGAGTGATCCACCAGCTCCTGAGATTTTCTGGCTTTCTTAAACTCCTCTTTTCTCTAATCT